TCTCGAGTATTTCTTCGCAGCGCTAGCAGCCCGAAGTATATTTCGATTGCCCTTCATAGATAACAATGGCTTTGTCGAAGATATCGTAGATTGCCTGGCTTGCCTGGTAAATGGCAACTGCATAAGTGCCTCCCATAACATCAGCTCCGACCCGCAAGGCTTGGGTGAACTCAAGGGCTGTGGCAGAATCCAATCCTCTGGTTGAATTGTCCCAGCAGGCTACCGGTGCACCAGACAACGTAAGTTCCGCAATGCTGACACGTTTTCGTTCACCACCGCTAACACCTCGCACATAATCATCACCAACCTTAGTGTTGACTGTATGACTCAAGCCAAATATAGCCATGACAACTTTCGTTATATGACGCGCAAACATTTTCCTTGTCATTCCCATGACCCTAGCAGCTGGTGTCCGGCAAGCAATAGCAAACTCCAAAGTCTGGCCGACCGTGAGATGAGGAAAATGATTTTCATCCTCCGCACTGTAAACAGCCTCCCCTCGGAACTCTTTTTTGAAGGTTTCTTGTGGAATTCCGTTGTAATGGATTTCTGTGTCTTTTCCCAGCACAAGATTATGTGTTTCTCCGCAAATAGACTTCAAAAACGTACTGCACCCACTCCCAGGTCTACCTAAGACGACGAGCATTTCCCCTTGTCTGATGTTCCCATTAAAATCCTTTAATATTCGCTTGTGATTTTTCTGGCCGATGCCGAAGGTTTCGCGAAAGCGGAATGGGGCCATAAGAGGGGTAGAAACCGTGCTCTGCAATTGCAAAGCAGAACCGGAACCGTACACGCTAAGGTTTTTGAAAGTAATGCCCGTACGACGTCTCTTTATACCCTCTTCCTCCATTAATCTCATCAGCTTGTGAGCCCATTTGAAGAAATCAAATTGTGGATTGGAAGGGTTTAAGACAGCGTCCCCCAGTCGAAGGCTAGCCACAGTGTCTCTTCGCTGCAAGCCGTCCCCTGGTGGATACTGGTTGCCATTGGAAAAGACGGATGCTATTGTTGAGAGTTCTGGCAGTGGATTTCGGGTTAAAGATCTGGCGAAGTTGAATCTGTTGCTCTTTTCGTCGGATGTGGATGCATTATCGTCATTAGATACATCACTTCCGTCCGTTTCATATTCCGCATTCTGGGGGTTCCGATCTTCGTGGACCGGGGAGTTTGATGTTTCCCCCGACATTGGATTTGGGTGAGGACAGTATGTTGTTAGCAACTTGCAGATGAAAGGAGACGAACAGCCAGGCAGTGGAAACAGTAGGATGCCAGATTGAGATGCTGATATCAATCACTGGAGTTAAAACTCAAAACCTTCTCGAGATGGCCTTGAAAGGGACAGGAGGTCAGAGTTTTGTATCTCTGCAAATTAGCTTTTGCGATATCCGAGGAGGCGGGCTACCGTGGATTGAATCCATCATCATTCCTCGCATACTCTCCTATCGTAAAACTGAACCGAATACGTCGAAGCAGGGGCCGTGGGTGATGAATGATGTCACCATAGGGCCCACGTACTGAAGACTGTCTGAGGGAACTCCCGCGCCTTCCGAAGCAATGGCTAGTGCCGGTAGCTACTGTTCCAGGCCCAGTCTTTCTTCCAGTTGTTTCCCAATACAAAGGGCCTGAGCTTTGTGAAATTCTTCAAGGTCAATGGCTGCATTGCCAGTGTATCGCTTCAATTGCTCCACCGCATGGGCATAAGGTAATATCAAGGCTGCAGACTAGGGAACGGCCCCTTTGTGGGACCCTTTTTGGATCAGAGTACCCATACTGCATCAAAGTTACTAGCATTAATCATAGCACCTTTGTGTGCATAAGGGAACCGGTGGCAAGTAGGGGGGCGTGGAGCAAAAGTCCTTCCAAGCACATGCTAGCAAGTTTATATGGCAAACCTATTACATACCTGAAAAGGTTTCGCATTCGTTTAGGGACTGGATGCTTAAAGTTAGGCTACCGCGACAAAGCCTCCATCCCCCCAGACCTTGGAGATTTTCCACAACGAAGAATCAAATGTGGTTCAAAATTTTTCCGCGGCTCTTATTCAGCAAGCTAACTTATACCGAGGTCCTGGTGAAGGGTCACGTGGTGTATTTGGAAATCTACTGACACAAAATCCGCCCTCGGTTCTAGTTGTTTGCAAATAGATCCGGATCGTCAAGGCATTTTCTCACTCTGGAATTCGACAACATATCCGAAATGGCGTTCGAGATAAGCAAGTTGGCTAAGGAGGATATCCCTTACTCTGTGGAGATTGTCCAAAAAGCGTTTGAGGACGACCCGTACTTCCTCTGGGTTTTTGATGCCCAAAAGGTATGTGCCGTATCAGCGTATACACAGTTTCGCGCAACGTGGCTGAACAGTGGCTACTAATAAAAGAGCT